CGCAGAGAGTCCTGGTCTTTTTGCTACAAAACTTCGTGTAAAAGCACGAAGTATTTTTCGATATGGCCCTAATTGTGTGGTGATTAGAACAGTAACATAATACATAATTTTTTTTCATTCAGAATTATGAAGTTTAGTGCCAATTTCAATTTATATTGTTTTTATTTATTGACATTGCAAGTAAAATGATGTTTATAAAATCATATGTATTTAAGCATGTATGAAATAAAAACTGGATTAAGAGAACCAATGAATTTTATTTCGTCGAAAAAAATGTCCAAGTGGAATATTTATTTAAAAGTTTTAGTTTTTATTAATCTAAGCAGGTCGATATCATAAAATTAATTGTGAGTGGCGAGATTTCTTGAATTGCTTTTAAAATTTTCTGAGTTCTCGAGAAAATTATTATACTCGATTTTCTCGCTTATACACAAAATGAAATTTTAGAAGCAACAAAATCGTAAAATTAATTAATATTATGGTTTAGTTAAACATTTTATGCTGTGAATGATAATTAGTCTAAGAACTAGTTAAAATATACATACTAGATTATTTAAAACCAACTCTTAAGGCATGTTAATTTATATATTTGTTAATTATAATTATTTATTTATAATTAATTATGCACTTGCAATTGCTAATGCTCCTTACGTATTTATAAATTATAGATCAATTTCTTTTAAAAAGCTTAAACATACAAAAATCTTTCTCGTACTGTAATTTATCATCGTATAAATAAATTTCAAAAATGATTATTAAACAATTTTATGAATTAAAAGTTTAAAATAATCTATCCAAACTTACAATTTCTTCAGAAATGTGAACATCCTGGTAAGTTTGTTTACTAAATTGCTAAATTAATATTAAAGCAAATAAATGAATATCACAATCAGATGATTTATCAATATTTTTAGAACGTGATGAAGTCAGGGCTAACATTAATTCCTAATAGTACAAGGAATAGAAATTAGCTTATAGCTCGGATAGATCTTAGAGGATCTGTAGCATGTTTAAATCTTTTCTAGACTGATTTTTTTTCTGTCCCGATCGGAAGAATAAATTTAAATAATATTTTAATATATATGAGAAATTTATTAACTGTAACTTCAAAATGTGGCGAATTAATAACATCAATTCGCCACAAATTGTCAGTCATAATGACTGACGAGTTGATTCATTTCTAAATAAGCAAGCAAAAATTTTAAAATTTTATTTTTTTAAAGATTCTTTTTTGATCGCGGAAGACAACTCGGGTATTGTAATTCCATCAGAGTAACTTTATGTGAATCAGCTCTAACTTTACGTTAAAATCATAGTAATCATAATAATGAAGAAAACAGAGATGGATTTCCGAAATGAATACTTTGTTAATTCTGCATTACTTACAGAAACGATAATGCCCCATAATGAATCACCATCATGTGAAGTTATTTTCTTACACTATAGCCATACTTAATATAGTGTTGGTTTTAAACATCTCTCAAAAGCGCAGAAAAATAAATTTTAATAATTTTTTAGTAAATATGTATAAATTACTAATTGCAACTGTGAAATGTATTGAATCGAAACAACGGATGATTCGATTAATTTCGAAGCAAGCACAATTTCCGACTATCAAAATATGACTTTATTATGATATATGACTAAGATTTTTTTTTGATAGCGGAAGATAACATTATGATTGTAATTCCATCGGAGTAATTTTATGTGAATCACTCTCACTTTAAATTAAAATCATAGTAATCCAAAAAATAAAGTAAACTGAGATGTATTGCCCACATGCATAAGATGTTACTGCTGAGTTACTTACAGAAACTATAATGTTACATAATAAATCACCATCAAGTGATGTTACTTTCTTGCACTATAGCCATACTTAATATAGGGTTGGCTTTAAATTTCGTGTAAAAGCACGAAGTATTTTTTCATATGGCCCTAACTGTGTGGTGATTAGAACAGTAACATAATACATATTTTTTTTTCATTGAGAATTATGAAGTTTAGTGCCNACTGCTGAGTTACTTACAGAAACTATAATGTTACATAATAAATCACCATCAAGTGATGTTACTTTCTTACACTATAGCCATACTTAATATAGGGTTGGCTTTAAATTTCGTGTAAAAGCACGAAGCATTTTTTCATATGGCCCTAACTGTGTGGTGATTAGAACAGTAACATAATACATATTTTTTTTTCATTGAGAATTATGAAGTTTAGTGCCGATTTCGGATTATAATGTTTTTAACTGTTGACATTACAAGTAAAATGATGCTTATAAAATCATAATACCTATTTACGAATGCATGAAAAAAATACTAGATTAAGAGAACAATAAATTTTATTTCGTCAGGGAAAAATGTTCAAGCGGAATATTTATTTAAAAGTTTCGTTAACCTGAGGAGGTCGATATTATAAAATTAACGGCGAGATTTGTCGAATTGCTTTTACAATTTTCTGAGTTCTCGAAAAATGAATTATACTCTATTTTCTCGTCAATGCACTAATTAAATTTAATATGCTACCAAATCCTAAAATCAATTATTATCGCATGGTATAGTTCGAAATTTTATGCGGTGAATGAAATTAGTCTAAGAATTAGCG